TATCTATCTATCTATCTATCTATCTATCTATCTATCTATCTATCTATCTATCTATTTTAATCCCAGGCCTGGAAGCTTTAGATCTTTATTGCCCCGAGGTGTTACTGGAAAGTAAAACAAATGAGTGACTACAGTCTACTATATCCTAAAGTAATTAAGTCGTGGGCAGGGGTGTGTGTGTGAAGTAAAGTCAAGCTTGGATAGTAGGAATATTACAGACTAGAAAGGTTGAGGAAATAATCAGTTTTATGAGTATCTATGACATATTTTAAAAAATTATCATTACTTCCATTTTGTGTATTGCACATTCCAACCGTTGCCTTGTTAACCATACTATTTTCTTACAGTAAAAGGACATCACAAAAACTGAGTTACTTTCTTACTCATCTAACTTACTTAGCAGTTCCTACGTTGTGAGAGATACCCCACCCTCCATAGTTATTTTCCAGTATAGTTCCAGTTTGCAACACGCTGCTCAAAGTTTTGCTTCTTTCCAAATCTTTCCTCCTCTGCTGCTGCTTTCTTCCAAGACCAAGCTGTTGTGGCTAGACATTTTAGAGCCTATTTATGTATATTTCTGCTACTATGCATTACTAAACTTTCAGCAAATATGAAGGCTGTCCAATTAAACTAATACCCTTCCCTATCTTTTAGTACTGAAGAGCATGGGAATTAAGGATTTTTGGTGAATATAATAATTATAGTTCCATATGAGTATGTCTTCACATCTCCTATTTTTTTAAAAAAAGTAATCCAAAATTAAGCATTCACTATTTGAGTTATTTTATCCTATGCCATTTTAGTGCTAACAAGAATGTAGAACTGGAAGAAGAACAAGAATAGAAATTTATGATTCCTATCTATATTTTAATAAGAGAGGTGATAGATATTTTGAGCTATAGTCAGGTTCTATAGCCAGTTGGCTCTTTTTATTTATATTTCCATTATATTTGAAAACCAATTTTTTTCCTTGTAAGTCATTGGGAATAGTAACGGGTTTTATAATTGGGTTAGATAAATTTGGATATTCAGATTGCATACTAAACCAGAAAACTGGAAGTGATTTTTTTATTGAAGACTACTTTCAATGCCTTGTCTAAATAAGCACATCACACAAATTAAAAAGCTAAAGGCTTCACCTTGATAGATGGCTGCATTGATTAATTCAACATTCCTGTTTTCTGTTTCCAGCACCTGATTATATATGTTTTGAATATTTGTATAAACACAGTATTGATTTCTTCTACAAAAGAAAGGGCACAATTAATGAGACTGGGGCAAGTATCAGATTATTGTCTGATAAGCCCTTTGCATCCCAATTCTTATTTCTAAAGAAATGCCTAGATTTTGTTCTGAACATTAAAAAATTGTCACATTTTGATACAAATAAACAGGCAGCAACCACTGTCTACTTCACTTGCACCGATGATGTTATCTAATTGGGTAATGAAACATCTGCAAGCAAACAACCAAGCTCAGAGAGCTTCAAAAACTCTACAGTTCAACCCATAGCTACAGACATTCTTTTCTACATGAATTTAATTATCAAAATAGCTATCAAAACTAGAATTGCTTGATCACACAACATGTAGCTTACCCAAAAAAAAAAAAAAACCAGTTTGGTGCAGTAGTTAAGAAAACAGAAGGAAACAGAAGAAACAGGACCCAGTGTAGGCATAAAATCCTAAATTATTATCAGTTGCTGAGTATATTATATAACAATAATAATATATACAGTATTCAGAGTGTTGAGCATTGAGTCAGCTCACGGTTATGTACGAAGGACCTCTATAGAAGAGTAACATTTAATTAGTATAAGAGAGAGAAAAATTAAGACTTGAGGCTGGCCAAGTTTGAGAGCTGAGAACACGAATGATACCTACAACAGTGTTGCTTTGCCACCCAAAACAGCTCTGTTAATGAAGAGGAGAGCTGAAGGAAACAAAATATACTTGTGCCAATACCTGAGTCACAGAGCTCATCATAGAATTCAACTACTACTGTTGTTCATATGCGAAAATGAAAGTTAAGGGATGCAACCCCAGAAGTAGAAGAAAAGCCATCAAATCTGCAAATCACTTTGAAATATAAAGCACTTTGAAGGCATGTCATTCAGTTGCTGGTTTGAAATAGACTTCGCTTTGATCTGCTTTGTTGAGATAATGGAAGTATCATTGAATTGAACTTTATTTCTTTCATTTCTTTGAACCTTTGCATATTGTAATAAATTTTAGAGTTCTATTAATTTGTAATTGTTCTAGATTTTGTTTTTTTTTAGTGACTTCATGCATTGTTACCTTTTGTTTAGAATTCTTTTTTTAATAAGGAGATTAAAATTAATGTGATTTTTTTTTTTACCAAGTAGTTTATCTGGTAAAAAATGAAGTATATTCATAAGATTATTGTCAAAAATATTCCAATAAAAAACAGATTTAACAAATAAAATTCTGTACTAAAGAATTTTCTTACAAGAAAATAGATTACTAAAAATTAAAAAGAAAATTATTTATAGATTTTGAGAGTATTCTACCAAAAATGGCAGTGCTTTGCTCGTTTTTCTCTATTTTTTTTACAAAATAGGTTGCAGAACAGTGGGTCTCGTGCCCAGGGGAAGAAATACAAACATCAAACATTCCTGCTTGTAAATCTGCAATATGTCCTGGATTTTTTTCCCCCTACTTACTAGTAGCTAACCCTTTGGTATAGTTCTAATTTATTGTTTTTGAAGCAACCAGACTTAATGCATAATTCACTTTTAGCTTCTCTTCAGCTCATGTGGGTGGTGATATTTCTTTGGTTAGAAGTAGCCAGTTAAGAGTTGCTTATTGTGATTATTATATTTTTCAACATGGTTTTAGGCAATTACTGAATATATTGATCTCTAAACTTAATCCACATGCATTTTCCCCTTTTTCTTTGCATATAGCGAGCTCAAGCTGTCCTACAAGCAGTAACTGCTGTACAGACAACAAATACTCCCATAAGTGGAACTACAGTTAGCGAGAGTGCAGTCACTCCAGCTCAGAGTCCAGTTCTTAGAATAATTATTGACAACATGTATTACCCAGTAACCCTTGATGTTCTTCACCAAGTAAGTCAAAAATTATGAGTAATTTTCATTCTTTTTTTTACATGCTTCAATAGCCAGAAAATGATGGTGCTGATGTGATAATGATGATGATTCCCAGCTTTGTGGCAAGCAAGCTATAGCATGCTCTATTTCTTTCACAGACCAATATTAAGGGAGAGGAAGCAAGATCAGGGCTTTTCCTCCTATCTGAGACAGATGGTTGCAGTGGAAGTACAACAAATAATCTGTGATGTGACATAAAGGAAAAGTCAAACGGCACACTCTGTAGAAATGAAGGAATGATGTTTCACCTCATTTTGTACCCAGTACAGGGCTGTTCAGAGAGCTCAGCTCAACCTTTCTACTACTTCAATACAATTGTGTTTCCTCTATCAGTTTGAAGTTTAGCAAATATGTTGTTGTTGGCCTTTTAATAAAGCATGGTATGATGTATGTATATGTTTGTTGAATATATGAATATTCATTTACTTTTCCCCCCTCAAACAGATATTCTCTAAATTTGGTGCAGTCTTGAAAATAATTACTTTCACAAAAAACAACCAGTTTCAAGCATTGTTACAATATGGTGACCCTGTAAATGCCCAGCAAGCAAAGCTTGTAAGTATGATTTCAAATACTTCCCTTTGGCCAATATGAATAAGTATAGTATATATGTTTCCGTTGACAGTACTTTTGCAAAATGTTGCTTTGTTGGGTAGAATGGACACAATTTTAAATTATAAATAAATCATCATATATATAGACTTTATCTTAAATGCACATTTTGGTGACGTCTTAATTATATTGGATCAAAACAAATAGTGTACTGTTTTCAAAATAGCTTTTACGTCTCTCATATCAAGGTAAGCCACTATTTTGTCTTGTTGAAGAACAGTTGATGAAATGTTATGAACAATTTATCATAGTCCTTAGTTTGAATATATCTATTACAGTGTGCTTTGCGTGGATTCTGCATGGACCATTTAAGGTACTCTATGTGGGGGCCACCCTTGAAAATTACTCACAAGTTACATTTCATCCAGAATGCAGTCTAGGAATAATAATGACCATATCCAATCTTTTCCATGTAGCACCACTCCTTTGTACTGTTCTGGCTTTTGGATGTGTAATTCAAAATGAAATTTGTCACCCATGAAGCCCTTTCTGTTTTAGAGTCTGAATTCTTATTGAGTTGACTATTTTCAGTTGATTCTGCTCGTCCTGTAAGCTCAGCCAAGGTTAACTTGCTTAGGTGTGGTTGGTAAAGCAATCTTACCTTATAGGATTCGGACAGACCTTCTCTATAGGTAAAGCTCCTCTCTGAAAGAACATTCCCTCTGAAGTTTGACTATCCTGTACTTCCACAAAGCCTTGGAAATTGACTATTTCTGCAATCCCTGGAGCCTTGTGGCTTGTGATTCTACTAGACATATAATTACAATTCTATAATTGATTTTGCTATATTCTCACTAGGGTACTTTATAGTTTTTTAAATGTTATTTTTATTTTTACATTTTATAAGTGACTGTGACTGAACAACCTATTGTATTTGATAAAATCAATAAAATAGACTTCAGTTGCAAGTACAGATTATCCTTGTTTACCCACCCCTCATTCAGTGACCATTTGTAGTTAAAATAGTGCTGAAAAATAACTTTATGATCCATGTACAACCCTTGCAGAACCCATCAGTCATGTGATCACCATTACAATCAGTACATGTTGTCCTGTGCCTAATATGTGGAGGTTTTTTTTTTTTTACTTTTTCTCCTCTTGAAGAACAGACAGATTGAAGAGGAAGGGATTGCAGAAGAATAACCTGTTTGTTCTTTTGCACATTGAAAATTGCAAAAGAATCCTGGATTTCGTTGGCAATCCAGGATTGGAAGTCATGGGCGAGTACACAAACTGCATACAATACTCTTGGAAATCTTTCCAGTCTCTCCACTCTATAAAATGGGGGAGGGGAAGAAAAAGCAAGTGATTTCTGCATTCGAAATAGTAAGAGGAGCAGCTGAGAGACAACCAAAAACTGAAGGTGTGAAACTGAGTAGTCTTGTCTCTTTCTGGTCAGAAAACAGAGTCATGGGCTTATGATTTCCCAGTTAGCAATCATTTCACTTAATAGCAGAGATGTCTGTAATAATTAGGGACATTAAGTGAGGACTACCTGTATATGGTTTACTTGCTTCTACAAAGGGAGGAAAAAAGGAACAATCAAGAGGAAAAACAGCTCAATCATTATGCACATTAATTTTTAATCAAATTTTATGGTTTACTGTGACATACCGCTTTGTTCATTGAATAAAGTTACTTCTTTCATATGTTCCTGTAAGTAACTAGATTTTTTTGTTATTTTTTTCTGTTTTGAAAAGAAGACACCAAAGACTATTAAAAAGATTGTGTGTTTTGTGAAATTCAGTAACTGTTCAGTTACAGTGGTGCTGAACGGAGGGTAGTTACATTTGGTTCTCAAAGTTATGGCTCTTGCAGAATAGAGCTGGAAGTCAGTCAGTCAGATGATCAAATTTTGGGTGCAGTCCTCACCCACCTGTTTCCCCCTTTTGGATACCCTGCACTCTGCCTCCCCTATTGTCCCCCCTTGACCTTTGCCATCTTCTTTGCAGCCCCTGCCTGTCTCTCCCCACCCCTCCCTATCTCTGCCTTTTGAGCCATTTGCACTCGTTACAAGGCCTTGCAAAGGGTCAGCTGCTTCAGTGGAGCATCCCTCAGTGGTGAGAGAAAGAAGATGGCGAAGACCAGCTGGAGGTGATGAGGGTGATAGGCAGGAGGGGAAAGTTGAAGTGGGGAAGGGGGTTAAAGCAGAGTTGAGTGCAGCACAGCAGGAGAAACATGAGATCCTCACCTAAAGGCACAGTCCTTGCCTAATGACCACAAGCAGAACTGCCATTGCTAAGAGGTGCAGTCACAGGATATTTTTGGCTGATGACTCCTTCACTTAGCAATAGAAATCTTGGTCCCAATCAGGATTGTTAAATGAAGATACTCTAATGTTAGGAAATAATGTAATAGGCTATATTTAAGATGACTGGAGAAAAGACATTGCTTTGAATTTTGCATGCTTATACAGTATGTTACTTCTCCAAAAGTTAAATAATGAAAATTAAAAGTCTTAATACAGATTTCAAGAGATGATTTTATAATTCCAATTTACATCTGTGGTAATAGCAGTGATTCTTGAATAATACTTTCTCATTTTTAAATTATTTCATAACATAATAACTCTGGAGTACTATATACTATACAACATAGTCAAAAATTAAATGATTGGGATAACTATTTGTACTGTACAATCTTTTAACTGATTAAATTTTAACAGGAAATTAACTTTTGAATGATACACATATATGATCTAGGGATGGCAAATTCAAATGCAGCCAATCGAATGCTAGCCCAGTTTGTTACATAATAAGGAACAGATGGAAATTGTTTTTCCTTCCAAAAAAGAGAAGCTTCAAGCTTTTGGCATACTTTGGATGAGGGGTGAAGAAAGCAAAATAATTTGGATTTTGATACCCCTAGAAATAACGTTTACATTTTACCATAGCCATTACTATAAACAATAGCTTCATTTATTTTTTGCAATTAACTTTTCAGAGATAATTCATATTAGAGTGCCTCGTTGTGCCACTTTCATTTCTAGGATTTGCTGGTGAAATCCTGAGAATATATTTTATATTACACATGGATTTACCATCAATCAGTAGACTATTATCTTTGGTACAATATTGCAGTAATATATATGATTCTTGTAAACCTCCAAGAGATATTGCAGATTGTGGAGGATGCAAATTTAATAAATAATATTTCCACCAAACCTGAAAAATAAAGAGTAATGCCTGTATCCACAGAATGTTGGTTAGTCCATTGATTACAGTGTTTTAAAACTTTCTGTGTACTTTTTAACTAATGAATGAAGACAGAGGTGCAGAAAGAAAAACTTAAATATAATGTTAAAAAAATAAATATAAGATGGCCTCCAGAGTATAAAATAAGCTGTCCAGAGGCACCAAGAGTAGGTTGGGTAGCCATATATATTTTCTTAATAAATAAAATAAAAATGAAATAACCAAAACTTGACAGGGGTCAGTTTTTAAAAAAGTATAATGCAGGTGAGAAATCATCAAATGTGTTCACTGTTTCTTGCTTCTAAATGTTAATAGCAAAAATTCTTTTAATTCCTTATAGTCTATATAAGGAATCAGAATGTGGCCTTCAGAGGTATTTAAAATGTAATAAGGAAAGTTTAAAAAAGGATTTTCTAAAAAGTCTGATGAAAATAACTTTGTTGTCAACTTCCTGCTATAAAGTACTGGTTATTTTTAGCATGTTACTCAGGTGGCAAAGGTGAATATTGACACCAATTATTCTATATTTCCCTCACAATGACTCCCTCCTTCCATTATTATATTAGTTTATGAGAGTATGTGTGTGTTTATATCATAAATTACTCTTTAAAAATTACATTTCAGAGAAGCGTTTATCATTAGTTTGTATGAGCTACCAAAACAAATAGATTAATTTCATTTTCTAAAATTAGATCAGACTATAATAAAAGCATCTCACATTAAACTTTGTGTATCTATAGGGAACAAAAATGTGGATATCATGAACAGATTTTTTCACTTCAATTTTCCTCTAGCCATAACATTCTGTGAGGTTTGAGTGAGGTGGATAATGGTTGTTTCTGATTTTCATATCTGTCACAGTGAGGCTGGAAAAGCCTCTCTGCGTGAGGAGGGATAAAGGACACAAATTTCTGTCAGAAGACTCCTGGTTCCTATAACTTTTAATTCAGAATTGTTGGGAACACTTTCTTAATTTCTTGTGAGTAAATATGCATGCAGCATTTTAAGCTTGGGAAGAAATGTTATTCATTGTCTTCAAGAGTGTTTTACCATTATGCTTGTCTGTGTTAAATGGTATTTTATTGTCTTCAAATAGACAGATTATTTGAATGTGTCATCTCTTCTGTTTTATAATTTGTTGAAGAATAGATTTTAAGGTTTTTAGTATATCCATTGTATAGCTATGTATATATGAGAGCCACTTGTGACTTTTCTGAGACAACAGGACCAATTTGGATGGTCCAATTCTGGTGCCTAATGGAATTTAATTGTTTCCAGCAATACTTAGGAAACTAATTATATCTCATCTCTGGCAGATGGTTCAGTTTAGTGCTTGGTTAACCACTGTCAATGGGAGGCAAGCTGGGCACTGAATTAAATCTCCCCAAGTTATTTCTTTCTAGGAGTCAATCCCTAGAATATATATATATATATACTAAATCAAGATGGTAATGCATTATTCCTATCAATATCCGCTCCAACCTTTTGATATTACTAAAATTGAAATGTGCTCAAGGGATCTCAAGGGAACAAATAGTGTAAGATTCTTCCTTCTTCACACTTCTCCAATGTCTCTTAACTTTCTCTCATCTTCAACATTGTTTTGGCTATAACACAATCAATAAAGTACGGTATATTGTATATACTCACACATACACACTTCAATAGAAAACCAATACATAGCTGGAGAGCAAACTCAGACCATCAGGCCAAGGTTGTAAGCCTGGAATAGTGCTGTTTTTCCATTTT